CACCATATCCTCCACCAGAACCACCACCATATGCACCATCATGGTGGTCGCGATCATATCCTACTCTCCGATCATAAGGGTTATATGCATCAGGATCATGGCCGAGAAGGGTTCTGGCCGCCGAAGCTAAGCCGAAACCCAGCAGCAGAAGAAAAGCAAGGGAGAAAGCTTTAGAGATTGCCATGGCTGAAGGGATGCCTTAGAATGCATCCATTGATCTCCTTATATAGGAAATGGTGGAGGCTTCATTGGCTTGCTTTTCCACTGTGTGCTTAGTGGTCATGACATGCAAAAAAAAGAGAAGTTGGATATATCTCTCCTATGTGGCTCAAGAGGAATGTGCATTAATTTGCCTTTTTGTGCTATTTTTTTAATTACCATTGCATTTCAAAGTTAGATTTTGCGCTTTGATCTGAAAATATATCTTGAATGCTTCCCAGGCTTTTTCGAAAAATCAAACTATCAAAGTTAGGTAAGTTTAACCATTTGATATTAAAAATTAATTTGTAGTGAGTGGTCATTTTTATATTGATTAAAATTTCAAAGCTAGTTTAAATAATATTTCGGCAAGTGTATTTGTGGTTTTGGTTCATTTTGGTTATGGATTACAAAATATCCCAGTTTGAGTTTGTTGGACTCTGTTGCTATATCAATATTACCGTCTCAAAATCAATTGACAATCAGATAGCTTATATTTGTTATAAATATTTATTAGATCATTTATTTTTTCAATGTAAATAATAAAAGACTTAGAGAGAATGAGTTCAAACTATGGGGGTTTGTTTTAACTCCAAAACAAAAAATGTGGGATCCTTAAGACCAACAAGGCAAAAATTGATATCTTTCTCAAAGGGAGAAGCCTCATGGAGTTTGATTTTTTCTACTTTTCCCACAACAATTTTTCAACAAACGATAATTTATTTACTCATTATTTTCAAGAAAATTGCATTTTTTTTTCCAGTAGCCTAAAGCCATTAAGATAATTTTATTTATTTGAATTTAATTTGGCCTCCCAAAATAGATTCATCACCTCGACAATATTAGAAATCGACCTCTTAAATCCCCAATTTCCATCATAGGATTTTTTTTAGAAAATATTAAAGAAAAATATTTGATTTGTTAACTTTTAGAAATATCAAGAGGTATTTTCAAAAAAAAAAAAAAGAAGAAATATCACGGTGGAAATGCCTTTATAGAATTTTTTTTATAATTTAAATGTTTTTTTTTACATTAAAATTTTCCATATAAAAGAAGAATTACAAAAACTAAATACATCTTTTTAACTAAAAAAAAGATATTTATTTGCTTATAAAGATAAACTTTTTTAAGAAAAAATAAAATGAAAACAATTTGTCTTAGTAATTTAATTTTTTTTTTTGTTCAAGCAAAATATGAGGATAAATAATAGCGATTTAAATTACATATTTTCTTTAAGAAATATATTAAAAATCAAATCTTGGCATTCTGAGATATTGATTTTTATCCTCAAAGAATCCAAGAACATCGACCTCTTGAATATTTCGTTGTTCCATCGTCGGAAAATTCTTTTGCAAAATTTGAGTTGAAGATCTTTAATAAAATAAAAAAAATAACATTTATTGTATAATATTACATAACATATACATTTACCAAATATCATAGATGTCATAAAAAACATGTTAGAAAGATAACCAATAAAATCTAATGTTAGAAATAGTTCAAGCGACAATAATAAAAATAAAGATAAATGAATAACCAAAATAAAATAATCAAAACATATCCTAATGCATGAACATCTCAAATTAAACTTATAATTAGGTCACGACTGTTGGGGGCAAAATTATGACCAACCACGTGCTGAGATATGACCGATCTCATAAGCCCATCTACGGCCGAGCTCCTAAGCTCATCTAAAAAGAGCTCCTTAAGTGCATCTACGGAAAAGCTCCTAAGCTCATCTACGGAAGAGCACCTAAGCTGGTCGAACTCCTAAGCTCATCTACGGAAGAGCTCCTAAGTTGACCAAGCTCACGAGCTCATCTAAGGTTTTATTTGTACAGAGTCCAAATAAGGGAAATTTGAGTGGTTGTGGGCAGTGTGTGAAAAACAGAGTTCGTATCTTGTGGGTTTAGTGAGGGTATTTTCAATTGTGTAATCCTAGGTAACCATTGTAAGAGTACTTAGAAGCAAGATAGTAATATCTTGAGTGTGATCTCCATTGTAATATTCCCAACTATAGTTGAACTTGCTTTTCCACAGAAGACTGGACGTAGTCCCAAGATAGGGGCAAACTAGTATAATCCCTATGGTGTTAAGCTTTTCTATCCCTATCACTTATTCCTTTGTTATTATTACTTACTTATCTGCTTTTAGTCCGAGGAAGGAGAAAATCAAATAGTTCCTATTTGAAGAACTTACAGGAGGATCACTGTATCTATATTTTTTTCCCAACAAGAAGTTGTGTAATGAGTGAAAAAGAAAAGAAGATAAAGAAAAAAATACTTATAAAAAATAAATTGAACCAGTGAGAAAAGTTGTAAGAGGGAAGAAGAAATTGTGGAGCAAAGAAAGAAATGATAAAACAAAAAAAATATTCAAAAGTCGAGAAAGAAAAGGTGGTGAGATAGAAGAAACAGTCTGAAAAAAAATCAAGAAATAATCAACAAGAGAAAAAAAAAAACTCTAGTATGAGAGAAAAAAAATGTCAAGAAGAATGGAAAACTTTTGTGGTCTTCTCTTGTGTCCCATGTTATTTTTTTAAGGAAAATATCACACAATTAAACAAAATGAAATATATTATTAATTGACAGCTTTGATTTTTTACCTAATTCGCCTGATCAAATTAAGAAAATTTCCAAACATAAATATTTTATTTTATTTTCATTTAAAAGTTTTTATTTTTAGAAGAGATGGAATCCAAATTTAATCAAAATATCTTTTTGATTTTATTATTATTTATTTTCATTTTCTTTTGATAAAATATAAAAAAAAGGAAAAATATTTGTCCTAAAATATCAACAAAAATTCTACAATAAAAATACTACAAATCAAATAGAAAAAGAAGAGTGAAATGGAATATTTGTGATGATAGATTGCAAACCAGGTATTGTTTGTGTTTACACGTGAGTTATTACATTCTCGGTAATCAGAATAGTGAGTCTTTGGACCACCTATTTCTCCAGTGTCCTTACTCTACATCTCTATGGGAGCATTTGCTTGATTTCTTCAATATTTCCATGGCGTATCCTACTAGAGTTGAAAATTTTATTGCGAAATTTATCAACATATATCTCTTTTTTAATGGTAGAAATGTGCTATGGTGCAATGAACATTTCCAGGCCATTTGGTAGGAGAGAAAAACAATAGTCTCTTCTCATAAGTTTTTAAATCTGCAACGACTATATGGGATGATATCAAAATTACCGTTTCTTCTTGGTTTTCAAAATCGACATTTTATTGTAATTATGACATTTCCACCATTGTTCTGAATTGGAACGCTTTCACTTAGTCTTGTATATTGTATGTTTTCTTCCTATACTTTTTTTGAATAGATGGTGTGTTTTCTTTTCAAAAAGAAAAAAAAAAGACTAGATCAAAAGAACGATTTATATAAATGATTTGTATCTATTTAATCTTTCAAATTTTAGAAAGCTTCCATTATACCTGGGAGTGAGATTATATTAACTGGATTCCTCGTTATTAATATTTAATCCTAATTAAACGATTACACATCAAATAATTATTATGATAAATGTTGGCTAATTTGATATGATGTGGTTAATAGATAGGACTAGACAAAATAAAGTGATCACTCGGTGTAACATATTCCTAATCTTTAAAAGGGAACGTTGCAAATCATTTTCATATCATATTTTATTTTGTGGTGGAATTTTTTTTAATCATTTATCTATCACCTTATACCAAATCAATTGAAGTTGATTAATTCCCTTGCAAACATTCTTCTCTTTTATCATTGATTTGCATGATATAATTTATGATAATCGGATAAAACCCACTAAGTAAATAGTAGATAGAGTATAGGATATTGTTTCTCCGTTTTGTAATGCAGCCTCCATTAATATAATATACTAAGTAGAGATGAAATGACTTTACATTAATATAATATACTTTTATAAAGAATTTAGGTTTGTTCCCCTAATTCTGATTTGAGAGAGAAACATTAAATAACTTCCCATTTCCTATATAATGATAGAAAAATTATCGCATTTTAAAGATAAGTCTTGTTGTGGTTAAGCTATGATCAGTGACAATTTTAAACAACTTTCAACTTGACTATTATATATATATATATATATATTTTGCAAAGGGGTTATTATATATTATAATTATTTAAAAACAAGGACATGCTGATTCATAAGGCATACATAATGTGTCCCAATAATACTTCTAGATTGGTTTTGGTTAATAAAATGAACTAAAGTCTTAACAAGATTATGTTTGAAAAGTCGACAAAAGTGGATTACTAAGTGGGGTTGGGTGAGCTAAAGTGAGCCTAGTTCGGTGGTAATTGACATATATGTTTAATCCAAGAGGTTGTGAGTTCGATCTCCTATCGCCACATGTTGTTATGTCATTTGCTAAATTCGTATAGTAAAATTTGTTTAGATTAAGGGTGCGTTTAGGAGTGATTTTGATATGATTTTGCCAATCGTTAAAATCACTTCCATTTCCATTGATGATGTTTGGCAAATTAAACATTTGATTTTAAGAAAACATAAAATCACATAAAATTGATTTTTATTGTATCACTTGGATGATAATTTTGAAAAATAAATTATTCTTAAATCTCTTTTTACACTCCCCTACCATCATTCCAACACACTTTAAATTAATATTTGAACCTATAGGTAAAGCCTAGCCTAGAGGGGAGTGTTATAAAAATACATATGTGACCTCACAAGAGAATTCCAAAGGACCCTTATTAAATATTTCTTCATAATCTTTAAAGGAAAAAACTTTCCTCCTGAAGTGTTGAATTGCATGATCTAGTAATATATAGACAAGTGTGTGTGTGTTTTTTTTTTTCAATTTTGCATAATTCTTACATTGTCCACTTGTCTATATGTTGTTGACCCACGCAGGAATTCAGGAGGAGGCAAGTTTTATCCATCTTTGAATAAGAACAAATCATATTAATTTGATATCTCATATTCCAACTCAAATAACATTTATTTATTTTTTTCGAAAAGACATCAAACCATTTCATTCAAGTATGTGGAAACATACACAAAATGGAAGTTAGATGAAAGCGCTACAATTAAGAGGAATGAAAGGTATATCATAATTATAAAAAAGAGTTGATTTAGATGATCAAGAAGAGGCAAGAACTATGATGTCATCCCATAAGGATGATATCGATTGTTTCGCTCCAACCAAACGGTCTACAAAATAGCACCCACCGCATTGCACCAAAGTATATCTCGATGGTTGTTGGATGGAGGGGAAAGCGCTGAAAAATTTGAAAAAATCACAGGTATATTCACACCCCAAGCACAGAAATTTTTGTTACTAAATCATTAGTTACACAAACAATTTATCTAGCACGTAGGAAACATAAAGAAAAGGAAAGTATCAGTCATTTCAATGACTGATATAATTGCTATGCAATCAAGGGAATAAATCCAACGAATATAAGGAAAGGCTTCCACAATATCAGCATGATTGTGGAAAAAATCACTCCAACGGCAGGGAGGAAATAACATCAATAATGCGCTGTAATTGGCCAACATTTGTAAGGAAGAAGCCAGCCTGTGTTGCCTAGTTGTTGCTGTCATTAAGGTTGCTATAATTTTGGTGTTGATGGTCTGGTGTTATTTGTTTGAATATGAGGAAGTGTATTTTGTTGATCTTTTACAAGCGCTTCTGCTATAAAGTCTTCAATGTGAATGTTGGATCGATACAAGGCTAGAAAAATATCAAATAAGCGATACCAGAGATGAGATGTGAGAGAGCAGTGTAGCAATAAATGATCTATGGATTCAGTCTAGAATCGAGGATCCTACCTTGTCCAATGGTGCTACCAAAAAGATAAATTTCTGCCATGCCCCACCTTCCACAACGTGGACTGATTGAAGAAATCAAGATTCTTTTGAATGTGGAAACAAAGAGATCTATAACTGCTGAATTTACAGAATGTGGGAATAGAAACTGGGGTGAGAGCTATATATTTTTCAGATATTAAAGCCTTACAGAGGCTCAATTTTTCTGTAGAGAAGCGCCAAAGCCATCTTGTGAGGAGGGCAGCGTTGATGGTGTAGATTTTCCTAATTCCMAATCCCCCAAGGTTTATGGGGAGAATGGTGATATCCCATCTAATGAGGTGTGAGTTGCACCAGAGTGAGACGACCACCTTTCGAGATATAAGAGTATTTCCAGTTATCGAGCTTTCTTTCAATTCCTTCAATAATGGAGTCTCAAAAAAGTACAGCTCCAGATTTCCCGCCTAGAGGCATACCCAAATATGTGGAAGGAAAAACTTGATATGGACAACCCCATATGGCCCCCGAGATTGAGCTTTCATAAATTGATATTGATCCCCGAAGCTTGTTCAAAAGACTTTAACAAGACATGAAGATTACGCAATTTGTCAGCAAATAAAAGATGGGAGATATGAATCCCGTAATAAGCTCGAATATGGAAGCCTTCGATGAGTCCTTTTGTTATACACAGCATCTAAAGTGTGACTTAGGTAGTTCATGGCAATAACAAAAAGGAAAAAATAAAAAAAAGGTGACAAAGGATCACCTTGACGAATCGCCCTATTAGCATCGATTTTACCACGCGGCTTGTCATTTAGGAGGATTGAGAAATTTGCTGAAGAAATGCACCCCCCCCCAATCCAAGTAATCCATTTTCTATTGAAGCCTTTGAAGGATAAAACTCAGCGAAGAGATTGCCAATCGAGCTTATCAAAGGTCCAACTTGAGAACTGGGTATGAGGGTTTTAAAGGCATGACTTGGCCAGCGAAGCTCTGGCTCCCTCTCTCTCCCTCTCGATTGCAACTCAAATCTCATAAATAACATTTATGAGTATTTAACATAACTTGCTTGGCACAGCAACCGATCAATGATTTGCGAAAACTCCATTAATTACATAAATAAAAAGATATTGTTTAGGGTTTAGAATGACAATTGTCTCAACTTCAAAAAATTATTAGAGGAGGTTGAAACAACTATTTATTTATTTACTTATTTTTATTCTTAGTACAAACAAAAGGTAGAAAAATAAAAGTAAATTAATAAAAATTATCTTCATGGAGAGGAAGATTGACAGTTAAATTTATGAATAGTACATTTCTCATTAAGGTGTTTGTTAAGGTGGTCGTGACTTCATTACACAGCTTCTCACCGTGAGTGTGAATTCTTTGGCTGTCTTCTGCTTCCATTTTTTCTTTATTTCATCTATTGCTGGCTATGTTTATGTAATTTATACATTAATAAATTTATTTGTATTGATTTTATGTTTTATTTTTATATCATTTTAGTTAAAATGTTATATGTTATTTTGCGAAACAAATTAATTTTAATTATAAGATGCGATGAATGAAAATCTATTGGATAACCATTTAGAAATATAACATCTTCATTAATTACCCAAATTCATTATTTTAGTTTGGTTGATACATAAGAGTAGAATATTGGATAATCATTTTCATGTTCCAAACGAGGGATAAGCAAAGCTTTCTCAATATCCACCGTCATATCCTCCTTCTTCACCACTGCCGCCATAGCCACCTCCCGATCCTCCGCCGCCTCCATATCCGCCTCCGTGCGCTCCTCCAGCACCGTACCCTCCTCCTCCACCTTTTCCGCCGCCGCTACCGCCTCCGTAGCCGCCTTTAGAACCACCATAACCACCACCAGATCCTCCTCCTCCTCCACTTCCATAACCAACACCATGCTCTCCCGGACCATATCCAGCACCSCCACCGCCTCCACTTCCGTATCCTCCACCTCCGCCGCTACCATAACCAGCCCCATGGTCTCCTCCGCCTCCATATCCACTTCCTCCACCACCACCGCTACCGTATCCTTTTCCACGCCCACCTGCATCTCCATATCCTCCGCCGCTTCCTCCACCGCCGCCACTCCCGTATCCAGCGCCTCCAAGGCCAGATCCCATCCCTCCTCCATATCCACCACCTCCACCACTCCCGTAACCAACTCCATGATCTCCTGCACCACCATATCCAGAACCACCTCCTCCGCCGCCACCRCTTCCATATCCAGAACCTCCCAGAGAAGAGCCAGCTCCRGCACCATATCCTCCACCAGAACCACCACCATATGCACCATCATGGTGGTCGCGATCATATCCTACTCTCCGATCATAAGGGTTATATGCATCAGGCTCATGGCCGAGAAGGGTTCTGGCAGCCGAAGCTAAGCCGAAACCCAACAGCAGAAGAAAAGAAAGGGAGAAAGCTTTAGAGATTGCCATGGCTGAAGGGATGCCTTAGAATGCATCTATTGATCTCCTTATATAGGAAATGGTGGAGGTCTTAAAGAAGAACAAACCACCGCTCAACCCAAAAACTTAAATGGATGGGTTCGATAAATTTAATTCATTTATTGGATATCTAATAAAAGGTTTCATTGGCTTGCTTTTCCACCGTGTGGTTAGTGGATATGACATGAAAATAAAGAGAAGTTGGATTTATCTAAGGCATGTGCATTAATTTGCCTTTTTGTGCTATTGTTTTAATTACCATTGGACTGCAAAGTTAGATTTTTGTGCCTGATTTGAAAGTATATCTTTAAAGCTTGCTAGGCTTTTTTTTTTTTTTAAAAAATCAAACTATATTAAAGTTAAGTAAGTTTAAACCATTTGACATTAAAAATTAATTTGTAGTGAGTGGTCATTTTTGTATTGATTAAAATTTCAAAGTTTAAATAATATTTTGTTGTTTGTAATTGTGTTTTGGTTGCTGCAACTTTTGTTTAGTTTAATCACTGTACTTGCAAAATATCTGTTTGAAAATGAATGATCGGAGATGGAAGAAATACRCTCTTTTGGTTCCACAACTAGAAAAGGGAAAGCCCTTTTTTCCTCTCAACTCCGTTTCTTTGATCTTTCTCATTGTAGTTCTTTATCGGTTAGAGAGACGTGAGACCAATCAGTATTTATATTCATGGAGTTTCATTTCAAAACCCATTGACAATGAGAGTAATAATACATATCCACCTTTAGACTAACAAGACAAAATTTGGAACTTTTTTCTCGTAAATATCTTCTGAGAAAGCCTCATGGAGCTTGATTTCTTCAACTTTTACGGCTCCTTCATCATCTCTTGGTCGTGACAACATTATTTGGAAGGCTTCAGGTGATGGAATTTTTACAATCAAATTGATGAAAAATCTACTTGCGGATCAGAATATCTCTTTTTGCATGACCTCTGCGCAAAGATATGGACTACTTTAATTAAAAAAAATGCAAAATTTTTCTTTGGTGTCTTGTTCACAAAGACGTAAATACTCATGATAGATTGCAAGGCAGGTATCCGTCTATGTGTTTAAGCCTGATCTATTGTTCTTTGCGATCAATATAACAAGTCTTTAGAACACCTATTTCTCCACTTTTCCTTACTCTGCATCTTTAAGGGAGGGTTTGCTTGGTTTCTTCAATATCTCCCTGTCGTTTCCTGCTAGAGTTGAAGATTTTATTTCGGAATTTATCAACATATCTCTTTCCAATAGTAGAAATGTGCATGGTGCAATGGTTACAACTCTATTCTTTGGTTCATTTAGTTGGAGAGATACATCTATCTCCTCTCATAAGATATACAACAATCATATAGTCTTTCAAAATGGACCTTTCTTTTTTAATTATGACATTTTTACCGTTTCTCTTAATTGAAGTGAGTATGGTTCTCCTACTTTTTTGAATGAATAGTATGTTTTATTTATTATTATTTTTTAATACTAGAAAAGTACAATATAAGAGTTCAGATCATTTCAAATGGTCTCTGACTCATGCTTTGGTTGTTATATGATCTTTGCTACTAAAATTATTAACATTCAATTAAAAAAATTATTTTCTAATCTTTATACGATTTGTATCTTTTTAATCCTTCAAATTTTAGAAAACTAGAAAGCTTCAATTATATCTTGGAGTGAGATTATATTGGTTGGATTCCTTGTTATTAATATTCCTAACTAAACATATTACATATGAAATAATTATTTGGCAAATATTGGCTAATTTGACATGGTATGGCAATAAATAATAGACAACTAGACAAATAAAGTAACTTGTGCAACATATTCCTCAAATCATTTTCAGATCATTTTGTTTTGTCGTGGCATTATCATTTATCTATCACCTTAATTATACCAAATTAATTCAAGTTGATTAATTCCCTTGACAAACATTCTTCTCTTTAATCATTGATTTTCATGATATAATTTATGATAATGGGAGAAAACCCACTAAGTAGATAGTAGGATAGAGTATTGGATTTTTTTTTTTCCTTTTTGTAATGCAGCCTCCATTAATATAATATAATAAGTAGAGATGATATGACTTTACATTAATATAATATAATTTTATAAAGAATTTATGTTTGTTCCCCTAATTCCTCATTTGAGGGAGAAACATTAAATAACTTCCCATTTTCTATATAATGGTGCAAAAATGATCGCATTTTAAAGATAAGTCCCATTGTGGTTAAGCTATGAGTGACAATTTTAAACAACTTTCAACTTGGTTATATATTATAATTATTTAAAAACAAGAAGGACATGCTGATTCATAAGGCATACATAATGTGTCCCAATAATAATTCTAGATTGTTTTTGGTTAATGAAATGAATTAAGAAGATTGTGTTTGAAAAGTCCACAAAAGTGCACTAAGTGGGTTGGGTGATCTTATCATTCTAGAAAGAGAATAAAGGAATTTTTTTAATTTATTAATAGTTTAAGATGATATTAGAATAAGAAGTTATGACTTAAATTTCTAAATATCTCTACAATTTGTTGATCTCTTGTTTGATATGTACGAAGAATTGAGCCAATATTCTGAGAATGTAAAAATATTATTTCTTAAAAAAACAAAGAAGGCTCAAGCCCCTGCTTTATACAACTGTGCACAAAAGAAATATGAAGAAAAAGAGAGAGAAAAAAGTTGTTCCCGAGAGCCATTAATGAAAGGATTTCCTGGGAATTAATTTTAATGACTAACGGCTATAAAGACAAACTTTTCTTATGGGAAGATGAAAGGACAGTAAAATGGGCCTTTACTGATTTGCATAGAAGGTTGAGATATTTTGCTAGAAATAGATGAAGATTACCGTTGGTGGATCTTTAAAGGCTTGGTCAAACGCCACTAAGATTTGATCTTGATTTTGTTATTCGTGCTTTATGTCTTCAACTTGGTCTTGAGCTTTAATATCCTCCCTCAAACTTAAATGAGTTAAGCAAATGCCAAGTTTGCCCCGCAATTCTTTGGAGATCGACTTTTCTAGTGGTTTGGTGAAGATGTCAGCCAATTGGAGATGTGAGGGAACATAACGTGTGATTAGGAGCCTAAAGAAATTTTTTCCCGCACAAAGTGATAGTCCATCTCAATGTGTTTCGTTCTAGCATGGAAGACCGGATTAATAGACATGTACAAGGCACCATGTTATCACAAAATAGTTGAGGTGGCTTGAGGATTTGGACTCCAACATCTTTTAGAAGAAATGTTATCCAGGTCAACTCAGTTGCAGTTGTAGCCATTGCTCGATATTCAGCTTCAGAACTGGATTGGGCTACTGTTGACTGCTTCTTTGAGGCCCAAGAAATGCAATTTGATCCTAGAAAGACACAAAATCCAGTGGTGCTTCTTCAAGTATCTGGACACCCTCCCCAATCTGCATCGCAAAAGGCATATAAGTTAATAGAACTATTTTTGTAAAAAGAGATACCATATTCTGATGTTCCATTCAAATATTTAAGGATTCGCTTCACAGCTTTCATGTCTCTCATCTTTGGTTGTTTGAAGTTGTTGACACACTTTATTCACAGCATAAGTGATGTCAGGTCTGGTGAGAGTAAGGTATTGCAGAGAGCCCACTATACTTCTATACTCAGTTGCATCCACTAAATCGTTGTCATTTGGAGATATAGAAGAAGTGGCCATCGGTGTACTGTATTGAGAGGCCTCTAGCATATTAGTTTTGTCGAGGATATCTCTAGTGTATTTTCCTTGGCTCAGCATAAGTCCTGTGACAGTTTTGTGAACTTCAATTCCTAAGAAGTAGTGAAGATTGCCTAAGTCTTTTAAGGCAAATTCCGAGCTCAGTCTTACAACAAGTTTTTCCATGTATGGAATACTATTTCCTGTAAGGATGATATCATCAACATAAACAAGCATGAGTACAAGAACGGAATCATGTTTTAGTATAAATAAAGAGGGGTCAGATCTAGAACAAGTAAAGCCAGCATGTAAGAGAAAAGTAGAAAGTCTTTCAAACCATGCTCTAGGGGCTTGTTTCAACCCGTATAGAGATTTGTTGAGTTTGCACACATGGTTTGGTAGTTGAGGATGAACAAATCCTGGAGGTTGGACCATGAACACATTTTCCTTAAGTTCGCCATGAAGGAAGGCGTTCTTGACGTCTAGTTGCTTGAGAGTCCATCCAAAAGTTACTGCTAAAGCAAGAGTCAAGCGAATTGTTGTAGGTTTAACTATCGAGCTGAAGGTCTCATTGTAATCTAACCCTTCTACTTGTGAGTAGCCTTGAGCTACCAAACGAGCTTTAAATCTTTCAATGGAGCCATATCTTCCCTCTTAGTCTTGTATATCCATTTTGATCCCACAATGTTAATATTTGGAGGTCTTGAAACAAGATCCCAAGTATGATTTTCATTGAGAGCTTTCATTTATTCCTCCATGGCACTTTTCCAATGAGGTATCTTCAATGCTACTTTGTAACTCTTTGGTTCATCTTTCTGACTTATGGAGATTAGATTGGTGGTGCTTGTTGGTTTGTACTAATTTCTGCACTTCGTGATGGAGTTGAGGATCCAATTGTGGATTGTAATGCAATTTACTTCTTGTGATCATGGGATGGTTTGATTTAGTATTGTGCTCTGTTGAAGTTTCTGCATGAGGAATTTGTAAGTCAATAAACAATTTACTACTTATATCTGGCAATGAAGATACCTGAATAGGAGATAACAATGGAAGGTTTGGAATTGAGTGATTTGAGAGTTCTGTTAGAGTGTTATGCACATTGGTCTTCAAATTGTGATCAACAGACACATCATCTCCTTCCTCAAGTTGATTCTCTTGTGGCAAATTACCAATTGGAATGTGATTCTCAGAGGCAATATCTTCTTTTTAAAATTGATTTTGTTGCTGTAGATTTGTGGTTGTTGGACTATGCCAATATTGAAGGTTTCTCCTTCCTCAATTTGAGTTTCCTGCTGTGGATTAAAGGTTGAATTGCTATTTTCTTCCAACACAATTTTTGATAAAA